CACAATTCAACAATATTTTTCATTTGTAAATTAATTTAAAAATTCCTTTGAAATTATTCTTATATTATATTACACATACTTACAATAATAATTACATTAAAATGTACAAATATATAGCACATACCGGCACATATATCATATATATCATATATTATATCATATACGAATATGCAATTTATAAATATACAAAAAATATACATAAATAATTAAATAAGAATGTAGTTATTTTAAATAATAATAAACATTAATTTTACAGAATGCTTAGGATTTTTCTCATTATTTCTCATAATTTAAATAGAACAACGCATAGTAAATCTTTATTATAACAGAAACTAAATTCAGAAAGAAATGCCAAGAATACAAAAGCGAATATTTTAATGCGGGATTTAGAATAAAAAATCGATCTGTTTCATTGTAAGAGAAGAACTTTCTTTACTTATTGTACTGAAATTCGAAGTCATGATAAAATTGCATATACGCAGGAGTTAGCAATATCATTTATTTATATACTAATTTGAATTTAAATCTAATACAATTTTTCAATAGCTAGTTATTTCCTCAACTGCTAAGAAAATTATAGGTTGTAAATAAATATTTTTTATCAGTATTTTAAACAAATAACGAAAAATTGCATATATATAGGAGCAGTTGAGGCTTTATATGCAAACGTTACATTTACAACAATGGTACAATTTTTTTTTTTGTGATCAATAATGTTTTTTGTCACAAAATACAAGAAAATAACAGAAATATAGGGATCAATCGTTATATTTTATTACTTACATTTGATAGAGCTCATAAGCAAAAATGTTCCGTAAAATCTCGCCTATACTGAGACAATTTAGAGAGTTTACAATTAATTTTTAACAAGAAGTTTACAATTAATTTAACTTGAAAGTTATGATATGTTCTCCTAGGAATAGTTGTATCCAGCGAGCCCTTTTGTCACAAAGCACAATGTTCGTCAGAAATAGAAAAGTTGTTTCATATACAGCGAGGACAAAAAAAAAGAACAAATATTTTTCGAACCAATATTGTATTTTTCTAAATAATTCACCATGTCCAAAAAAAAAACAACATTACATATTAATATTATAATATATACAAAGCATTATACAATTTACATACATAAACTGTTATACTGCATTTAAATATTGTACATGACACATGTACCAACATAATTATAGTTATTTTACGTTTTCTTTTCCTATATTTCTTTTTTCATTTCCACAAAATTTAACCATTTCTTCAACCCTGTCCAGAACATACCGTTCTAACTAACTTTTTTTTTTATCCTTAAAAATTATAATTAAATTCATGCAAGCTCAAACAATAACATTCCCTCATGAATGTGTAATATAACAGAAATTATTATTAAATATAAATTCTGTAACTGACTACTGTGATGTCTATCATCTCATATATAGAATGACTCCAAAAAAAAAAATTTTCAGTATTAAGAGTAAATTTTTTTTAGGTATGTTCCTATACGTGTGTATAATGTACATAATTGTTAACAAGATCTAAGCTTTTTAACACAACATCATATTAACATTATAATATTACATACCTGAGCACAATCTATGTTATGAAATGTATATATTAGGTAGAGCATAAGTCGGTCATACATGTAGAATCTGTGTATATTTATGATATGTATATTCTTACGCTTGCACCATACTACCCTTATCACTATATAATATGCTGAAATTGAATGAAATTTCATTGAATACTACAGCATGCATAAATCAATGGGTGCGTTTCTTATAAAAGTATCTATCCAAGACTCAGTGGGAATCGTTTGTAAATGGAATTTGACATTTATTTTCCATTTAAAAAATCAAAGCCATCTGCTGGAACAAGTCTGCACTATTACTCTTCTCAAAAATCTCAAAAGAACTTTTATTGCAATTTTATAGGCATGGAATATTTCTTATTTAGAGTGTAACACGTTCTAAGAGTAGTATAGTAGTATTCTCTGATTAATTAATCATTACCGTTACTTTTTTTCACACAAAATAAAAGAAAAATTGAACCTGTATTAGGATTTGAATTGACGTTAGCTTTGTTAATTGCAGTTATATTTTTTTCAATTAGACAACCTCATATCTTTTAAAAACAAAACAAAGATGCCAACTATTTAAAAAAATGCCAACATAGAGCTGACTAATGTTATACAATTTATTAAACGTATTAAAGAAATCTTTGAAAATTGTAAATGAAAAACATATTATAATTGTTAGGAAAGCCAACTAATAGTAATTGGGGTAGTACTTAATCTACTATACCCTAATAATATAAATAGCGTACTCATAACACCAACTTTCTTCTTTCCATACTTTTTTTAATAAAATTAGAGAATTTAAGGAAAAGTATAATACATACGACACATAGGTATAAAATTATTATACATACAGACATATGTAAGTATATAAAAATTCTGTTCGTAACTGTAAATGATTTTTATTTTTTTATGTAGAATTATAATATGCATGTAATGGGTACTCTTATATAAACAAAATATGAGAAAAAAGCAACAAGGAAGAGAAAAAAAAACAAAATCTTAATAATTTTCCTTCTCATCCTCCTCAGGGACCCATTCTGATGGGTTGATTTTTTTCTTGTTTTAAGTAAATTCATTATAAACCTAATTAAAATTTAAACTAAACATGAAGGCAAAACAACAAAATAAAAAATATATAATAATAATAACTGGATATGTAAGTATGTATGTATAAGTGAATATTATATATTGTGTACAGAAATGCAAGAGGAACACAAAATTACGAGTATTAAAAAAAAGGAAAGAAAAGAGAAAAAAAACACGGTCGAATGAGAAAGTTAATTGTTTGAGTTAAATTTTATTTTCATTTCTTATTATTCTTTTTTTTTTTTGTTTTTATTTCAGTAGATTGCATGCCCTCTATGTATGACGTATGAATGCACAAATATATATTACGTAATATATTCTGTGTAATTAAAAATATATTTGAATGGGGTATTTTGTATGTGACAGGATAAAAAGGAATATAAACATTGGATGATAAAAGCTTTAGGATAAAAGAAATTAACTGAGATCTAATATACGTACATATATGGTGATGGGTAACCCTCAAAAGATGGAACGGTAACTGATTTAATTTAAGATTTAATAATTATATATATATATATATATATGTATAAAAGTAATAATTATAATAATTATAAGCAAGTTGTTTATTAAAAAGAATTTTTTTTTAATGAAAACCAAAAATGAAAAAGTGAAATTGGAGGTATATTTAATATACCGTTGAAAAAATGATACGAGACTAAATTCAGTATTAGACAGTATAATCGGCAATTGATTTTCCTAATATATAATTTATTCCTGGAAAACTGCCAGAAGCTATCAAATAAAGTTACGCTTTTGTGGAAGTCGAAAATTTAAAATTGATTTGAGCCAGACATTAAACGATACCCGTGATAATAAATTCAGATTTAAATCGATTAACCATAAAAGTAAGATGAAGTATCAAGTCCCGCGGTTAAGACCTTCATTATAAATATATGCAGTTTATTCATGTCCTTTTTAATAAGAAAAAAATTATTATTAATTTTTGGAACGAAAACTTTTAACTCCAATTTCTTCAAATTCGTACTAAAAAAATTATCGTACGTCATAAAAATTCATTTCTTTCTTTAATAAATTTCTTTATTAAAAAGCTAACCTTGATATTTAGTTAAAATTTTTTTATAGGGTTTAAAATTAAGAAATAATTTCACAGACTTCATTTAAACATAAACAAAAGTGAAAGAAAAACTGGTAGTATGTGTATGGTATACACATCCTGCTATACATACAAAAATGTTATGCAAACATAAGAGTTTGAAAAGACAACACACATTAACACTCAAAGTAATATAGGAATTCCTCTAGATTTTAATATTTTATGAAGGATTATGACGTATGTTATGCGAAATCCTCATAAATTTTTACGAAAATGCAATTATTAATGAAAACCAGAAAAAAATTATAAATAGCTAAATTAAAAACATTTTTTTATTTGTTGAACCCTTTGATAATTTTTTTGATATTTACGGTAAGGGATATTAAAGAAAATTTTATACAATCATAATGATTCATATATTCACTACACAGTAAAATTACGTAGATGGAATATGGTATAGAAACCATATAAAAAAGAAATTCAACACGTGTTTGAACAGAAGAAGAAATTTTGAAGACGGTACTGTTTGAGGCATGATTTTTAGTTTATGGAAGGTAGTCAAGATCAAGGTAATAGTAAAAATATTGTTATATATGTTTGTATATATTCCACTTGACCAATGACACAGTGATTACTGCACCGGTCCTTTAACTGACGGGGATCTTGGTTTCAAAATCTGGTCAAATTACTATAAAAATTGTATTCAATAGATTATATACATCTCCATATATATTACATAATTAATTACCATATTTACATAAAATTCAATATTGAATTGCAGTAAAAATAAAACAATAAATATTAATAACCGTACATATTAAATGTAGGTAGGTAGGTCGCAACCCATCTAATTAAAACACCATTAATGTAAGAAATTGGGGCATGGTTGTTTACGGTATCCATACACAAGGCCTAAATTTCTTCCAAGTCTTAAGTAGGGGAAAAAATTTGTATTCTTTAAAGTTATGTATATATGTAATACTAAAAAACAATTGAAGGTGTGCCAAAATGTCCCAGAATCTCACCATGCACAGTCTTTTTAAAATTCTTCGGAATAGTCATATTTGTTTTACACGAGTCCTAAATAATCATGAGAGCTTCGACTCATTCAGCAAACCTAATATTCAGCAACTCATTCAGAGAGTTTTAATTCCGGCATTATTATGACACAACATCAAATAATCAGTAAAACTTCTCTAATAAATTTTCATTTATTTTGTATTCTAGTCTACTGAATTTTTTAAAATGTTTTTTTTTTCATTTCGTAATTAATAATTATTATAAAGTATTTACCTTATAATTTTATCTTAGTTCAATCAACGCCATCTTAACGTTGTTATACAAATCATTATATCTAAAAATAAATAGAAAAAAATATACATTAATATTAATTGGCAAAATAAAATTCTAATATTTTAGAAACAATATTTAAAATTAGATTTTAGTTGTACGAGTAGCTCTAAAGTTATTCCAAATTTTAATTATGTGTCAAATTTAGAGTTCTTTCTTTATAAAATATGAAACCAAAATAATTTTACCACCAAAAATATTTATTCTTAATTATTTTACAGCAAATTGTTTCAACAATTATTTTATGTAATTTCAGCATAATATTATAGCCAATATCTTGGATTTCCACCTCTCTTTATATGTAAAATGTTATAAAATAAATGAGCTGCCTTTTATAGAAATAGAATAAGAGATACAGATGCAACGAAAAATCACACGCATACTGAAGCGCATTCTCTTTAATTTTAAATATGTCATTAAAAATATTATAACTTTTATTCATAGTTGTACTCCCAAGAGATCACAAACGATGTATAAGAAAAGTGATGTGACAGATTACACATACTCTATATCGTTTATATAAAATATATTTAATATTTTAAATATATATATATACCTAAATATATCTCATAATTACTCATATGAGATTATTCCATAAAATATTGTGGTATTGTGTTCAATTTATAATATTTATCAAAATGCTTGTATAAATATTTTTACTGCTATAATACAAAAGTGTGTATAAATCCTATAATTACATACATACATATGTCCCCTACTACTGTACATTGTTTTTACTATTTCTTAAAATGAATCAATTTTATGTGAAATTAATTTTTATTGTGATCCTATATAAAAACAAAAAAAAACAAGAAAAAAAATTCTATAGAATTATAATCAAAAATTTAATATTGTGAATTCATTCAAAATAGTGTGTGTACAAAAAAAAAACTATAAAAAAAAAACACAACACAAAAAAAAAAAAACAATTTAATTTTCTTTATATTTTATGTGTGTCTAATCCTTAAGGACATTTACCCACAAAATCTCATTCATATATGAAAATTTTATAACCTATTTTAAATTTTTTTTTTTTTTTTGAAAATGATTTCATAAAATTTAAGAATGTAAAAATGCAAAAATCTTTGAATCAAATAAAAATTAAAAGAAAACAAATTACTTTTTTTTTCTTTTTTTTTATTTTACTTCAAATTTGATTGAATATTACCCCAAAAGGATTTGCAAAAGTCCCAGCTAAAAAGAAATTTTCTTTTCTTTTTTCATTTTTTTTTTTTCTTTTGTCTTTCTTTTCTCTTTGATTGCAATCAATGTCATTTAGGTACTTTCCCATATACATATAAAAATAATTTGCATATATGTATACATATATTTATGTGTATATACGTTACATATTTACTTAAGAGTTCCTTCTTTTAACTACCTCATGGAGTTGACATACATAAGTAAATCTTTATATTTGTATGTATATGTTTATATGTATAGAAAAATATGGTAGTTTTTTTTTTGCACACTTTTATTACAATCGAAAACCTTAATTCAAATGCAGTAATTACAATCTGCATATTATATTCTTAATTTATATGTATGTATATATGTAAATAAATTATAACTATATGAAATAGTGTAAATATTCATTTTGAAAAGGTGTACACTATACATACTTACAGTAAAGTAGAAAAAAATTACTCCACAATTATGTTGAATTTTTTTCTCAAATAAGAAAATTCAATAAAATTTTCAATTTTCGGCATTTCATTTAAAACGAAAAGGGTGACGCGTCCGTTTCGATTATTAGAAAAAAAAACAGTTAACAAAAGTGAACAAGAGTTAGCAAAATCTTATGGAGGCTTTCTTTTATCATATGGTTAAAAAATAGTTTATGAGATCTCGTTTCAAATAGTTCAAATTGACCCTGCATTCTCTTATTAAAATACGACTAAATTTATAGGTAAAACAATCTATAATTTTATATCATGAGGAACACCCCTATAAACATATTAAATGAATTTCTATATATAATTTTTTTCAAGATTATTTAAGAAGGGAAAAATTGAGCCAAACCGGTTTCAATTTTTCCAATGTTATTTCCAAAAAAGATTTTCGTATTTCAAATGCTATCATTCTAAATTTGTGGATTAAAGCGATAAATTTTTTTCGCATCCAATCTAGTTGCCTGAATAAAAGCTCCCAATTACTTTATCTCATTAAGAAGAGAAAACTTCAAAATTATTATTGAAACGAAAAATAAATTTCCTTTCAAATTCATTTAAATCGATATGTTCAACATAAACGAATACCAGTGGTTCTCCAATAGTAAACAAATTAAATTAAATTTAATTTATTGTATGCAATTAACATTTAAAAATCCTTGTAAAATTTCATTTCTTTTTTTTTTGTTTTAGTTGGTACTGTACATTTTTATTTTTTTAATGGTTTATGACTATAAAACTTATAAAATGGCTTATAAAACAGCAGTAGTCTCTTATAGTAAATTTGATTTCTCACATATTATGTAATATTCATATAATACAAAACACATAAGTTTATACATATATACGAATAATATATAAATAAGGTTTACACATATTTTTTTTTATTATTATTTTAAATCCAAGAATTACGTTTGCATATACTCGTACATATGTACACACACAAATTTATAAATAAATGAAAGAATGTCCTTTAGAAATTGAAAAATCCTTTTGTTATTGGATTTAGTTTTGAAAGGAAATCAATAAAATTCTTATTCTTGTTTAACTTTACAACAAATACTCTTGTAAAATGTTAAAAAGACCTGAAATAATTAAAAAAGTAAAGTTAGACATATTAAAAAATACCAAAAAAACAAAATCAGAAGAAAAAGCAATAAGGAAAAAGTAAAAAGAATAAAATAATTTACCTTCTCCTTATATCGACATACTGATTGATGCACATATTCCCGTATAGGTGCATATGTATGGATGTATGCGTTATTATACCGGTATATTGTATGCATAATATGTGGTGTTTACATTATTATTACTATTTTGTTATTTTTTAATTTCATTTCATTATTACCAACCACTGTATTGTATACAATAAAGGAAGTATTATATTCGCATTAAATATCACATTTCCAAATTTTGAAAGAACTGCATATTTCCGTTCATCGGCCCATGAAATTCTGCTTCTTAAGTTCATTCGAACCGATTGCGAAAATTTTTGAGATGCACTGATTTGATCAATTTTAGAGCCACACCAAGTCTCAACAACAGGATCTTTACTATGGACCGATTTCACTTTTTCCATTATTTATTTATATAGGTTCTGCCGGACAGAAAAATATATTTACCAACAAAGTTTTAGTGGGAATTACGGATGAGAAACTAAAATCTTAACTTGAAGCCAATTTAATTGTTTCAATAATATTTTTGTATTTGTTAATGTTCTAGCAGAATTTTGAGCACATTAGACTCGAGAAAATGCACCTCTATTAAGAACCACATCTATCGTTTTAAAAATACATATGTAACGTAAGACCATAAAAGATTACCAATTTTACACAATCTATTGAGTAGAAAAATTAACTTTTCTTTTTAGAATTTTGAAATATGTGTTGTATGTGCTGACCATATCAGATTTTCTTTACTGTTTTCTTGGTTTTTTCCTGCTGCAAACTTGGATTTATTTTAATAATACATACACAGGAAACATTTTAGCATATACATATATGCTTATTATACTTAAATACGAACATATCGTAATATTGACAGACTATTAGTAAACTTTTGTACGTTTTCTACAAGTAATATAGAAAAGGAGACTATACTACGTTAAGAGTATATAGAAAAATTTCACATATACTAAAATTAAAAACAAAAGGAAATATAAAAGTGTCCTTTTATTGTTTTCTATGCCGTTTTAGCATGTTTGAATTAAAAGAAAAATAAAATTAATGTTTAATATGATTTTCTTTTTTTTTTGTTCATTCTTAGCACTTTCTAAAAAATATTTGAAAAAAAGTGTTTATTAGTTTCCCTCTGTCCGGCGGTGCATGGACATGCTTATAAAACTTCTACTCCCTTGTAGATAGAAAGCTGAAATTTCAAATGTAAAGGGATCTATACTAGAAACTTATTTCCGTAGAAGAAAATTTTTTCCTATCTCCCCCCTCTAACAGTTATACCAACCTAAAACTCTAAAAATGTCATTTTTCAACTATTTATTGCAGTGGAACCATAAGCATTTTTCAAATTTTGCAAACCCAGATATATAGTGGCTGGCATCTTCTATCGCGGCATATCATACTAGAACTTAAAAAAAAACAAAATGGCTGTTTAAATTTACTGTTATCTAAAATCCGTTTTTTTTTTCAAATTTTTGAAATCTTTTTTCTTCTAGACTGCAGGTTGGCGAAAGTCTGAAATTTTAACAGCCTTTAGACACTAATAAATTTGTTTATTTCGTTAGCAGAAAAGTTTTCCGCACCTGTACCTCGTATCAAGTTAGCGCCTCACGAAATTTGTAAAATTTTTAGCGCCTATAACTGAAACTGCAAGCTTTTTAAAATTTCTATAAACGCAGAAAGCTAACTTTAAATTCCACGCCATTAAATAAGGGTTAATTGCGTGATTATGTTAACCCCTCTTTATATTAATTTTTGCTTTATTTTAAAGACTACACAAATCGTTCATCCTAAATGTATGCAATCCTTGAAATAGTTTCGTATATGAATGATAGAAATCTTAATAGTGTAGTAGATATATATAGATTGTTTTTAAAAGCAGTGCTTTCACTTGTTGAGGGGAAAAGTGCTACACTACCAACCATTGGTTTAATCCAACTTTATTTATTTTAATTTTTTTCTTTCTATTCAATAAAAAATTTGCATAAAATAAAAGTTTGAATAATAAAATCATTTTGTGCTTTACGAATGTAGGAAAATAAATTTAAAGAAAACAAACATAAGCAAAAAATATCAAAAAAATTAAAAAAAAAAAAGAAATAACCACTTAAATGAAATCAAATATAATAAACTTTAACAATATTTTAATAATATGGAAG